GCCAGACTCCTGCAGTTATGTCGTTCACTTGCGTCCAATTCCCGTATGAGATAGTCGACCGGCTTGGACAGTGGACCCCTGCGTTTGCCTCTAGGGACTCCGTCTCCGCGGCACGTGGATGCGCTAAAAACAATGGTCTGGAAGGAGGCCAAATAACGGGGCAACTCGTTCTTTCTCTCAGAACCAAGATACATGCTGCTATAGCTACTTTTGAATGTGACCATCATGGCTCACCTTAGTTGAGATCCGAGCTGATCTCCTGGTATTTGCGTGGCTTTCTGGTCCGTTGTGTGCAGAATAGGTGTGTGGTTGGGCAAGCATTAACGGGCCGTTAAGCTTTAGGATGCCGCCATCGGTCAGGTGGCTGTGGTAAGAGAGTGTAGTAACTCAGAAGAAGAAGAAGAAGAAGAAGAAGAAGAAGAAGAAAAAGAAAAAGAAGAAGAAGAAGATGCGATCACTGGAACAATAATCTTATTTTCCTGACCGTTCGGATTCTGTCGAGAATCATAGATAACCGTAGAATGGTCTGATACATGCAGTGTAGTAACTGCTGCGAAAGTCTACTATAACTGTAAACTGGTTGATGTCCATTCACCTTTCCTGTGCCCATTGTATGGTAATGCACACGGTGGGCATCGTCAGTAATAATTGTCACACCGGAAAGCAGTCTGCCAATAGAGGTGAACATGCGAGTTCCAGGAAGCAGTTCAGAAGAAGATGCGACCACTGGAACAAGAGTTTTATATTCCTGACATTTCGGATCCCGTCGGGAATCCTTAATCATAGGTAATAGTATCATAGTCATAGTCATGTGCAGATAGGGTTGAAACATGCACAGGTTGCACGGTATTTATAGTCCATAGTGGTCATCTGCGTGCGTACGGTAATTATTCACTTCTGTAGCCACCGATTGGGTCTTAATTTGTGTGGTACTGGCTTGTAATTTCGCGTTCGACTCATTAATTGCCGTGATTTCCTCATCCGTGTTGGATTCGGACTTGGTAATTGCATGTTTCAACCCCTTCTGCGCATAACTATGATACCATTACCTATGATTAAAAATTCCCGACCGAATCGGAAACGTCAGGACAATAAAACGCTTGTTCCAGTGGTCGCGTCTTCTTCTTCTGGAAAGCAGTCTGCTGTGTTTCGCTCATCCTTTTTTCGAATACTGTCCTAATTGAGAAACGCATATGTTATCTCCTCATGTGTTCCTTTTCTATAGCGTGTGGGGTTTGATCCCTTATTAAATGACCCTTGGCTTCTTGCTTCTCTCCATTTAGAAATCAAGGAAAACAAGGCGCCTCTATCACCTTCAGCAGAAGCTGAGAGCCCCTCAAAAGACTCTTCACCTAATCCAACAGGCGCCGTCCAGAGTGCGCAGACTTCTGGGCCCGTATTCTTGTGGGAAATCGGCAATGCCAAGGATGCAGACGCACCGGCGGAGCCAGACGAAGGGAAGAAGCGGCAGGAGAAGGAAAAGATGGTCGAAGAACTTGGCTGCAAGCCATCTTAACAGTTATATTACTTTGGTGGCATATTTGTATTTATAAGTCCGCTGATCCGATTCAAGTTAGCTGATGGCTGCTTTTTTATAACTTAACTGTTTGAAGTTGGTTTGTTTGAGAATACCCGTTCGGCTCTCTATTTTTTTCTTGTACTTTTTATTAATGCGGAACGTCAAATAAATATTGTTTTTAAGTAAGTATCTGAAGGATACTGATACGATCAGCAGTAGCTTTGCAAATTATTAAGCGCGCTGTAGCGGATTTTCCGTCTTCTCCCTATTGTCACACCGTCAGACTCAGTCGAATATGCCTCCGACACAGCGATAAGACACAAACTCTTGAGTTGTGAGACTAATTTCCCAACACCCACAAATATATATATATATATATATAACTTGTATAACGTCCAGGGAGGTCATCTGTGCTAATGAACAAGTAATACGATGTCTAATATTGCCAGTGATTAGTGATGATTTATGATCTCCCTTCACGAACGCCAAGATATCGATTTTTTGCTTTCCCTTGTTATCATGGCGCCTATACCTCGCACCGGTAGGTTTTATCGGAATCGATGGTCGGTTGTGCGATGAAGTGTCGGAAAACTATGAGCTCAATGAGTAAACGTTACTGGAATTTGCAGTCGTGCATTAACTGGCAATAACCGGCTAATACAGGGGTGTCAGAGTAACAATAAGCGGAGCATCAAACATTATTATTTGTGCTCTGAGAGCACTATAATGCGCAATCCCACTCTGGTGCATTCTCCTCAAAATCTTCTACATATGGTGGCATAAGCACGTCCGCAGACGGTACACTATATACTCCAACCGCTGTTTAATACAGTCTGTGACGTGTATTGCAGCTCTGTCTTCGTGAACGACGATGCCTACCGTGTGCGCCACAGCAACTTGAACCCAAAAGCGTTGCCTTGATCGTGAATTATGCTAAAGTGATAGTAGACTTGTGTTAAATA